CTTAGTTGTAAGCTGCTATTTTCATGGAACATCAATCTGGGACTGTAGTTGTTTGTATTAGGGTATTTGATAGAAACTTACTCAAAAAAGGCAATTGAACCTGTCACTTCAAAGAAAACAGCTGATGGTGTTTTTGCAAATGGTAAAATTTGAGCTTTCAAGGGAAAATTAGAATTTTTGAAATGTTATATCCATCACTATGAGCTTAAGAGTCTCCTAATACATAAAATATTTCTGATAAAGTGGGTTGTGATAATAACTGATATGATATTTTACTATTGTATGGTGAAATATGTCAACATTTGAAAGTTCTTTATTACTCAGTGAGCCAGTATTTTCTAGAAGCTCATTGATAGAGTTTAAAATTCCATACCACAGTCAACCTTCAAGAAATTATCACTGCTTCAGTTTTGGTGTCCTATAAAAAAAGAATATCTACTATTATCTGAAAGAGCTATTAAAATATTTAGTTCTTTTCTAACTACATATCTCTGTGAGGCCAGATTTTTTTCACATGCTTGAATAAAACAACATATTGCAACAGAATGAATGCAGATGTTGATATTAGAATCTAGGAGTCTTGTATGAAGCCAGACACTTAAAAATATTGCAAAACTATAAAAACAATTTTGGAAAGTTGTTTTTAAAATTATTTTACTTGTACTAATATATGAATTTATTATTTATTTATTTTTAAAACATTCTTTTATTTATATTTTTAAATATGTTCTTATTGATTTTTAGAGAGAGAGGAGAGGGGAGAGGAAGAGAGAAAAACATTGATCTGCTGCCTCCAGCACACCCCCAACTAAGGCTCAAGCTCACAACCTGGCATGTGCCCTGACCATGGGTCGAACTGAGGATCTCTTGGTGCATGGGACTACACTCAACCATCTGATCCAGGGCTATTATTTATTTTTAATTAATTTTTTTCAACAAAAGTTTAAAAATTTGATAGGTATGATGCTTAAAAAGAAAGCTGTTTGGGATCCTTATTAATTTTTCAGACTGTAAAGGGATCCTGATATAAAATATGTTGAGAACTACTCATTTAGTGCTTTACACAACACCCTTTTCATACTCATGATATTACATTCAAAATCACCTTATGGGGTACATATTATCCAGATTTTGTAGAGCAGAACACCACAACACAAAAAGGAGATATATATATATATATATCCTCGAAACTGGTTTCGAGGATATATATAGATATATATATATATCTATATATATCCTCGAAATATATATATATATATATATATATATATATATATATATATATATCCTCGAAACTGGTTTGGCTCAGTGGATAGAGCGTCGACCTGAAGACTGAAGGGTCCCAGGTTCGACTCCGGTCAAGGGCATGTACCTTGGTTGTGGGCACATCCCCAGTAGGGGGTGTGCAAGAGGCAGCTGATTGATGTTTCTCTCTTATCAATGTTTCTAACTCTGTATCCCTCTCTTCCTCTCTGTAAAAAATCAATAAAATATATTAAAAATAAAAAAGAAGAGGGTTCTTTAATTTACAAGTTTTATGAAAAATTTCCATATCTATTTTATATTGATTTTTTTAGTTTAATTTCATTGTGTTTAGATGTTTACTTTGTCTTACTTCAATCTTTTTAATTTTGAAGAGGCTTGTTTTATAGCCCAGAATTCAGTCTGTCTTGGTGAATGTTCTGTGTATACTTGAAAGGAATTTGTATTCTGCTGGTATTGGAAGGAATGCCTTATCAATATAAATTAGATGAGGTTGGTTGATAATGTTATTACCATCTTGTATTGCCTTAATAATTTTCTGTGTGTTTTATCATTGAGAGAGAAATATTAATTTCCAATAATAATTGTGGATTTTTCTATTCTCCTTAATATTTTACTAGTAAATATTAATATTTTCTACATGTATTTTGAAGTTTTGTTATTAGGTACATAAATATTTACAGATGTTAGCTCCTTTTTGAAAAATTTATCATTATGAACTGCTCCTGTTTGATACTTTTCCTTGTTAAAACATATACCTTGTCTTATCTTGGGGTAGGTAGAATGTCCCCCCAAGGATATCCAGGCCCTAAGCCTTGGAACCTAAGAATATGTTATGTTACATGGCAAAGGGGATTTTGCATATGTATTTAGTTTTGCAATATTAGTTTATATTGCTTCCAGAACAAATTACCACAGGTTTATTATCTTAAGACTACAAAAACTATAGATACAGTGTGGCTCAGTTGGATATTCTGCTTACAGCCCTTTTGACACCTTGATTTTGACCTTATGAGGCTTTAAGCAGAAGATCCAACTGAGCCATGCTGTATCTGTACTTCTGACTACAGAACTATTAGATAAGTTTTTGTGTGTATACATATATAACGTATTAAATTAATTAAAAAAAACTCATTAGCTCTTGTTTATATCAGCCAATAGTAAAATTGGTTTTGTTTATATATTTTTGCTTAAAGTTACAGAACCTATTAATATTAACTGAGGACTTACTATATTTCTTTCTGGAGTCTCTGGGGATTGATCTGTTTCCAGACTCATTCAAGTTGTTGTTAGAATTTAGTTCTTTGTGGTTGTAGGGCTAAGGAACTTATTTCCTTGCTACCTGTCAACCAGGATTCATTCTCAGCTTCTAGAGTCTGCCTGCATTCCTTGGCTCATGGACCTCTTCCTCTGACTTCAAAGTTAGTGAAGGCAGGTCAATTCCTTCTCATGCTTGAAATCTTTGATTTCACTTTCTGTATCATCTCCCTGACTTACCTATATGCAGCCTTTTGCTCTTAAGTGCACATATAATTGCATTGGACCCACTTGGATAATCTAGAATAATTTCCCTATTTTATGGTGAGCTGATGACCTGATTAGTAACCATACTTCCATCTGCAAAGTTACTTCATGATAGTACCTAGATTTGTGTTTGATTGAATAACCAGAGAACAGGAATCTTGGGGTACATCTTTAGAATTCTCTGCCTACCACAGTTACAGACTTTACAATAAGAATAGTACCATGGGTTATTCAGGTGGACCCAGTCTAGTCACACGAGCTCTTAAAAGCAAAGAACTTTCTCAAGAAGCAGGAGCAATATGGCAGGAGGAAGTGTCGGAATAATTCCAAGCATGAGAAAGACTATTTAAAAACTATTCTTATTTCAGAGAAGAAGGGATAGGGACAAAGGGATAGGAAAATCAATATAGAGAATCATTGATTGGCTGCCTCCTGCATATTCTACATTGGGGATCAAGCCAGCAACCCAGGAAAGTGCCCTGACTGGGAATTGAACTGTGACCTCCTGGTTCATAAGTTGACACTTAACCACAGAGCAATGCCAGCCTGACAAGTTTGAGAAAGATTTGATATGCTGCTGCTGGTTTTAATATTTAAAGGCATATGTGCAGGAATCAGAGGGAGAGAGACCTCTAGAATATAAGAGTGACTCCCACCTGGCAACCAGCAAAGAACCTGGGATCTCAGTACTACAACCACAAGAAACCACGTCAACAACCTGAATGAAGGAGATTCTTCCCAGAGTCCCCTGATAAGAGCCCAGCCAACTGGCATCTTGGTTTCTGCCTTATGAGACTCTGAGCAGAGAAACCAATGAAGCCTGTCTGGACTTCTGACATATACAACTGTGAGATAATAAATTTGTATTATTTTAAGCTTTTAAGTTTGTGGTAATTCGTTACAGCAGTAATAGAAGACTAAAACAGATGTTAATGTCATTCACTCACTTTCTTTTGGTTAGTGTTTGCTTGGTATAGCTTTTTCTGTGTTTTTGTTTTTACTTTTAGTGTATATGTGACTTTATAGATAAAGTAGGTTTCTTATTGAAAGCATACAGTTGTCTTGCTTTTTAGATCCAATCTGACAGTCTTTTACTTTTAATTTGTATTTACATCATTTACATTAAATATAATTGCTCATTGGGTTGGGTTTTAATTACTACTTTCTGCTACAGCCTGGAAACTGCCTCCAGACAGTAAGCTGGGACAATAATAGAATGTGTTTATCTTCTTTGTTTTCTTTCTTTCCTTCTGTCATCAAGGTCTTTCACTGCCTATTGTCTGGTATCTGAAAACAGTTTTTTTTCTCTCTTATATTTTGCCTACTTTCTTATATAAGGTGGGAAGGAAAACCCTATAACTCTTATTACATGAAAAATAAAAGTCATCAACAATGTAATTGCTAATTAATATTTGAAGGATATACTCCTCAGGAAGTTCCTTTTATGTGGGAGAGAGAGAGGGGGGGGAGGGAAATTTACTTAGTCATTAAAAGTATAATACGGGTACAAAAATGTTACTGTATATGATCATGACAGATGGCAGCCTCTTAAAATTTATTTTTAAATTAAAATAATCTTTATTGTTAAAAGTATTACATGTCCCCTTTTTCCTTCATTGACCCTTTCTAGCCCACCCTTGTCCCCCACCCCAGGCCTTCACCGCCATATTGTCTGTGTCCATGGGTTGAATCAAATAATTGAATCAAATAATTAGCAATAGAACTTGACCATTCCTAAACATGTTATTTTTTTCCCAGTCTTCATGATTTGGTATGGCTAGTTCCTTCAGCTTAGCATGCTTCCTAATCTCACATTCTTTCCTGCCTGGCAGCTTTCCACATATCCCCAGGAACCAATTCTTCAAGGGTCATCACCTCTGCTTCCCAGTGCCCATATTTTCTCTTATGGGCTCCCATCCATGCCCTGCTCCATAGCACCATCATGGCATATTTCATGCTGTATTACAATGATATGTTTCTGTATGGACTTCTTCAACATGGGAGCCCTGGAAAGCAGAGAACTGATTTTAGTCTTCTTTATGTATTTCTTATCGCTTAACATAGTATGTCTTCTACATAGAACTGTTCAAGAAATGATTGTTGAATTAGTGATTCTTTTAATGTGCTGAAAAATACTGCTGTTATTATTCCCAATTTCAGTACCACATATTTGTAAATGTGAATCATCTTTAATAATTTTACTTTTCTCCTAGTAAATTCCTCATCTATGCATGTCTGCTGCTATTCTCTGTGTTATTGGCCCTTCGTCTGGATGGCATCATTCAGTGGAGTTACTGGGCTGTTTTTGCACCAATATGGCTGTGGAAGTTAATGGTCATTGTTGGAGCCTCCGTTGGAACTGGAGTCTGGGCACGAAATCCCCAGTATCGGTAATACTGCTTTATAAAAACCATCGGTCTCTATCCTGAGGGAGCAATATCTGGTTTTTCACTTTGAATAAAATAAAGACTATTTTCTTATCTACCTATCCAAGGTTTTATTAGAACTATTATACAGGCACACTGAGTTCTAGTCTTAAGTTTTTAAAAATTAAGTATTCAACATGCATTTTTCTTGTAAAAGCAGTGTTATTTTGGGTAGTTCATTTCCTAGCTAGCCCACAAAAGTCTATGTGATCTAAAGTTCATGCCAATGTTATAGCCGTGCTAGACTAGGAAGTATGAAACCACCATATTTGTAGGAGCAGTTCTATAAACCAAAGTTCTAACTCTGATCATCAGGGATATATCTTTCTCCAATTCAGTCATGGAACTGGGACTCTCCTTGTCCAATCTCTTAGTCCTGGGGTTTTAGGACTGTAATCAATGTGGAGGAGCTATAATAGTTTGGCCAGGAAACAGTGAGTCTTGAAACAGGGAGAGATGAGGCCCAGATACTGTGCAGGAGAGCAGAACCTTTGAGAGCTGGGCAGGTGTGTGACCTTTACCTTCAGCTCTTTTGTGCCTTTCTTCTTGGATGGCTCAGCTGATTCAAGTGCCTGGACTTGATTCACTCCAACATGTAGCCTGGAGCTGCTGTGACCTGTTAGAGTCTCTCTTTTCTACCTTCAGAAAGATACTGGAACTTCAGAAAGGATAAAAAGAGGGAATTGAGAGGAGGGCTATTCTGAACCTTACCAGGATGGTGAGAAGTGAAGGAATGCCCTGTAGGGGAAGAACACATGTAGCTGCTCATGTGAGAAAAGTGTAGACATTGTGACATCTCAACTTGTTTAATTCTTGGTTATTGACATTAAAATAAGATTTAGATTATGTAAAACATATTGCCACATACATGTCCAAAAACTTAAACATAGCCACACAAAGAACCTTGATAGATCAGGGACATTCAAGTGTAGCTGTTTTAATGTTATTGGGGTGGGTTTTTTCCCCAGATTATTTGTGTGGCTGCAACTTTTTAAAAATGAGATACTTTCCAATATCTACATTTACTACCCCAAAAATAAAAAAAATCACCGAACATGTTAGGTTCCACTAATTGAGATTTCGAAGCTATTTGAACTTTTCTATCTTCGTTCAATTTAATATTTTTAGAGAAAAGAAATGAATTGTTTGTGTGTATTTGAATTTACTGAGTGTACTGAGTATACAGATGTGGTTGTTCTAGTGTCAATGATAGTCAAGGAAACATTGTTGGGTCTTATAGAAATAACTTTATTTTCTCTGTGTCCTAAACTCAGTTGTATTTATCATCATCAAGACACTTCATAAATGTTCATCTATATTTTGAATGAAACATTGTAGGCCTTCCAAATGTATTATGAAGCATTTTCCTGATTAGTGGCCTTATTATTTTTCTGTTGTTCATCTGGTAAGTTCATGCATGATACTTAGACAGCTAATTAAACTGATTTTGTTTAAGAACAGTTTTAACTCTTTTGCTCTTCTCTCTTTCATCTGCAGGTGTTAATTCATCCTATTGGAATAGAAAGGAAAATAAAAAGGCATTAATACTTTTTACTTGCATTTTAAAATAGCACCTAACCATAATTAATGTATTTTCTTAAAATATAACCCACAATTGTTCATAAAGCTAAGGTTTTTATAGCATTGCATGAAATGTGATGTACATGGTTTTTAATTTGTTAAGAAATGAGGATCATAAAATTTAAGGAATATTTGTCAGTTTTTAGCAATAGACACAATCAGCTTCAGTAATCTTACAAGTAGTTCTAAGTTATGAACAAAAGTGTTTTGTACCCTTTCAGGGAAATAATACCTGTGCTGTTACTTCTGATAATATCCTTATATAGTTAAAACTTTGTATGGTTTGATTGTAATGTTTATTTCTTATCATGCAGTACTATTTCTGAAAAATCGCCTATTAAATATTAAGTTTAAGTTAGCTTTCTACCTGATATTTCCTTTGCTTTTTGTCAAATTTACAAATACAACTCACATTATCAACCTAAGTTGGTATTTTCCCTGGACTGCTTGCTTATTATGAAGTCTGAACTGAGGGTGTTTTTCTTCTTCTTCTGTCCCTTTTTAGAGCAGAAGGAGAAACATGTGTGGAATTTAAAGCCATGCTAATTGCAGTGGGCATCCATTTACTCCTGTTGATGTTTGAAGTGCTGGTCTGTGATAGGATTGAGCGAGGCAGCCATTTCTGGCTTCTGGTCTTCATGCCTCTGTTCTTTGTTTCCCCGGTGTCTGTTGCAGCTTGTGTTTGGGGCTTTCGACATGACAGGTCATTGGAGGTAAGATTTCTTATATTTAAGAATGATTATTATAATGTAAATTTTTACCCTTTGTTATGGAGAGATTAATCATTAACTCTAGGTCACAGTATATAAGGAGGCAAAAGACCAGGGAAATAATCACATTCTACTTTCTTGAGTTAAAACTCTGATTTCCCACCCAGTTCATCAGTCTTCATCCAGCTTCACATCTTTGCCTATCTACCTGTTTCTATCAGCTTCTGGTGAGAAACAAAACCAACGGGATAGATACAGATATAGTTGTAGTTATAGATACAAATATAAATGTAAGATTTAGTTTAAGGGCTTGGCTCATTCAGGGAAGGATCAGGATTGCATTTCAGTTCATATTAATTAAAGTGCACAGAAGCTGTGGGTCCGAAGTCCTATACAGATTGGTTCAGGGGAAAATTGGACATTGTTTTGAGTTTCGTGGGTAAAAAGTGGAAGAAGGAGATGGCAGTTGGGTTGGAAGGGAGCTGGAGAGTGGCTTACTTAGGATGTGGGAACCTGGAGAACAAGGTGCCTACAGAGAGGGAGAGTGATGGAATGTGGGTCTGTGACAAAAAGAGGTAACAGGATCCTAATCACCAGGAAGAGCTTGATCTTGAACATGGAGAGTGATTCCTCTAGTGCTGGCTGGACTGTGAAGGCAGAGTACCCCTGAAGGCCGATTTTTACCCTCCACTTCTTTCCCAAGATGGACCAATCCAGATACTTCTCTGCACTGCCCTCATGCGGCTGCTTGCCATCAGTATTAAAATTTCAGGAGGGAGTATGATTAAGAAAAAAATGTCTAAAATGACTCCTGAGGAAACAGTAATTTGAGCAAGGTTGAGAAGCTGTAAGTGAAATTCTCCTTTCTCCCCTGCAACTTGTTGCCTGGTTATCTCTGTATGGCACCCCTCCTCACCCCTTGTTCCCCAGGAGTCTCATTGGAGACCTTTGTCTGTTCTCTCTCTTCCCTGCCTGTCCAGTCCATCCTCTCTCCTGGGGAAAGCCAGTCATGCTTGTGCTTCAGCACTTCTCCCCTTCTTGTTCCTCTAAGCATTTGCTCCTGAACTTATCCACAATCTCTCAGGTAACTGGTCTCTCTCATCTGAACAAGAAAACAAAATGACAGTTGCAAAACCCTCTCAGTCCTCTGGCTATTGTGCCTTTTCCTTCAATTTTCCAAAAGGCCCCCTGAAACAATTCTATTCTAACCTTGCGCTCCCTATCCAGCTCCTGCACACCCTAAAACTGGCACTAAACACCCTCTAGCCAAATCCTCACTTTGTTTTTTTTTCAAGCCACCATCCACTCTGCAGCTCCTGGTCCTTTGACCATTTGGCCACTTCTATATTCTGCTCCATTGCTGTTTCTTAGGGTTCTGGTCTTGGGTATTTTCTGTCCTCACTCTGTATACTTTGTCTGAATATCATGTGTACACTTCTTGTTTCCACTGCCACTTATGTGCAGTCAGATCCTAAATTTATATTTCTAAACTTAGATTTCCCCTCTAGCTCCAGACTCCATATTCAGCTTCACCCAAATATGTATTCTCTATATTGGTTAAAGGCACCATTCCTACCCAGTAATCCTACCTTTCTATGTTATGCCTCTCTTGCTTTGCACATTTTTCTATTACCAGAGAAAATGAAGTAAAACCAAGCTTTAAAAATCACTTGCAAGCCGAAACCGGTTTGGCTCAGTGGTGGAGCGTCAGTCTGTGGACCGAAAGGTCCCAGGTTCGATTCCAGTCAAGGGCATGTACCTTGGTTGCGGGCACATCCCCGGTGGGGGGTGTGCAAGAGGCAGCTGGTCGATGTTTCTCTCTCATCGATGTTTCTGGCTCTCCATCTCTCTCCCTTCCTCTCTGTAAAATATCAAAATATATTTTTTTTTAAAAAATAAAAATCACTTGCAAAAGATTACATTAAATAAAATCACTGAGCTAAAATATTCCAGATATTGCCTATTTGGTTCAGTATTTTTCAGTGGCAGATGGGGTACGCAGTTGGCTTTCTGGATAGAAAATGTTTTGTTGAACAGGATTGTCCTATGCATTGCAGGACCTCTTCCCCTAGTCTTTGTGACATTCAATAGTACCCCTACATAGGCCTTGCCCCTTCAAGGTTGAAAAGTACCAAGTTGGATAGAGGCTGAGAAGGAGGTTTAAGAAAACTAAAAATTTGTTACTTTGTTTCTTAAAACTAAAAGCATAGATGAGGAAAGCATTGAGCATGAAACAATATTTTCCTAATGCAGAGTTATAGAAAGTCAGTTGTTCATATAGTCATACTCTTGGCATTCCTGCCTACAAGAAAAAGCATGGTTTGGAGAGTTGATCTCCCCGTTGGTTCTTGGGTCCCAGAAGAAGGAGAGCCTACATTTGCTAAGGGTTGTTTGGGAATAGGCTCACACCGAGTTGTAAAAAAAGAGTTAGGATTGGCCCTATGCATGTAGGGGAAGAGATGGTATTTTCCAAGCAGAGGGAATAACAAAACATATAAAGGCAGAGGCAAAAGAAAGTCTGTCATATTGAGCGAATTATGGTAGCTCCAATACGACTGGAGCACAGTGTTGTAAGCTGCAAAGTTTTTGGAGACGAATAGTGGTAATATTTGCACAACAATATAAATGCAAAGATGGCAAGTTTTATGTTGTATGTATTTTACCACAAGAAAAAATACATGCCTGGAATATAAAGTGGAAAGGAAGACATTGTGGTAATTGGCAAAAAGGGAGGCTTCATAGAAGGATTAGGCTGAGTAGGGGCTAGATCTCCAGTCCTCAAAGCATGTGCTGAGCTACCCTAGTTCCATAGTGAACTCACAGGGTACAATGAAGTAGTGATCATTTTTTAGGGAAAACCAGTGATAGGGGACACCATAGAAACTACTGGCTCCAAATAGTTTATGGTATTAGTCACATTACATTCCTTTTGATAACATCACAGAAGAAGCTGGGTTGTTGGCTGTTTCTGTGATGAGAAGGTATTAGTGTGCAAAAATTGGTATGGGGAAGAGGTAACAAGGGTGGAAGTTGTTGAGAAATCATTCAGTACGCAACAGACACACCTATCCCATTAGCAATTAGTTGTGCTTATTTAAGAATGTTTTTGATTTATGTGAGTTTTTTTAAGTGTATAGTCACCTTTATTATAATTCATAAATATATTAGAAATGGACCTTAACAATGGCATCTAGGTTCTCATGGGCTTCTGCTCTCTGTTCATCAAGCTAAGCAATTAGAAAACCAACTTTGAGGATGAAAAAGACTAAGTACCATTTTAGTCTCAATTTTTTTGCCTTACACATTCTGAAAAGTTATCTGGCCCTTCTAGGTCCAGGGATCATACTATCTTAACATACCTGTCCATGCTCAGTGCCTTCTATAATTACTTATAAATTTCAATGGGCCACCTGGCCAATGGAACACTCTATTAGTCTACCAGTTAATGTAGACCTGGGGCTATTGACTGAACATTTGCATCTCTTTCCTGTTCCATTTCTTATTCCAAAGGGCAATTACTTATCTTCAAAAAATAGCTATCACTAGAGGACCCCAAAAGCATTATCAACTGCCAAAAAAGGTGAGGCAGCTTCTCTTCTTTCCCTAAATCAAGTTATTTGGAATCTTGATTGAAGGCAAAACAAGATACGCAAAGCAAAGGTCTTCCCCTAAAAAGCTGTGTGAGATTTTTTTTAAATGGCTACTTAGTATATAGATACTATTTTTAGATTTAATTACTTAAATAAATGAAACTGTTAGGTACTTTTTTTGGTTCAGAAGCCTAAAAAAGAATTTCTGAGTTACTAAATGTCATATGAACTGCGAACTTTTGAGAAGCCCTGGCCCAAATCCAATTGCCTATATGATTTTACTTTGGTAGGCACTGGTGAGTCACTGAAGAGCAGTGAGCACTACAGGCAGAAGGCAGACAATCTGGCTGGGGACCAGCGGGCCTTCATGTTTGAAGGCTGGGCAGCTTATTGGAGGACTGTTGGATTACTTTGGAAGGTTAGGGATGAGGAGGGCCTAACTAGACAATAGCAGTTGTGATGGAGAGCAGGCAGGGGATTCAAGAAAAGTCTGGATAGTAGAGAAAACAGGATGTGGTAACTGAATAGAAGAATCTGGGGAAAGGAATATAGGGTGCTTTATAGCATCATGCTTTGGATAATTAGGCCACTGTGGTATCTTACAGCAAGATGGGAGGCTATCAAAAGGGTTGGGGCAAGGTAAATGGGTAAAGATATGGGGAATAATGAACTCAGTTTGGGACTGGCTTCATCTAAAGTGCCTCAAGGAGAGCTGGGTCCATGCAACAGCATGAGGACTAGATTGAAAACATATATTATAGGACCAACCAATTGTAGGTAATGCAAACCAGGGGTATGGATGACATTTCTTCTCCCCAACCACTAGGGCAGAGCAAGTGAGTGAAAACATGTGTTTGTGTCTATGTCTCTAGTGGAGAGAGAAGACCAAGTTTAAGGCTCTGGGAAGCATCACCATTTGAGGAGAGAAAAAAGGACTGAAAAGAACTGTCAGAGTACCAAGAGGTGGGCAAGACTGTGCACTGAGACCCTAAAAGGAGGAAGGGGTGGTCAGCAATATCAGATGCTGCAGAGATGACCAATAAGATTTGAACTGAAGTGGTCTGATGCTGCAGAGGTTATTGGCCACCTTGATGAAAGCAGTTTTTGGGTGGTTGTCAGGGTGGAGGCCAGATCACAGTGTGTAGAGCTTGGAATGGCAGGGGAGGCCATAAGGCTTAAGTATCCCTGATGTCTCATAAAATTGGATGGTCATGGAAAGAGAAAGCTAGAACTAGGAGGACATACTGGATAAAGAGGAGGGTGAGTGGTCTTTGGGTTCCTTTGGGTTCCTTTGGGTTCCTTTGTGTGTAACGGAAATAAGTTGAACTTCTTTCTGTGTTTCTGGGAAAGATCCGTGGAATGGGCAGAGTTAAAGATGCAGTAAAGTATTTATAATTGATGTCTTGCTGTGACAGGTGCTGAAGGAGCCAGAAAGAAATGGGTGGATACAGAGATGAGTTCTGGGTACAAGAAGGAAATATAGGTGTGGTTAGGAATAGAGGTGTTTGTGGATAGGGGCAGGGAGGAAGCTTAGGGAGTCCCATAGATTGCCTCTATACTCAGCGATCCTGAAAACAAGGTTATTGCCTTGGGGGAGCATAAAGGACAGGGCGGGCACTGAGCAGAGGGGTCAAGGCAGGAAGCCAGGGGCAGGTTTCTCCTAGTCATAGCACTGCTGTGCTCTTATGTGCTGAAAACCTGGCAGTCCCAATGCAACTTAATAATAATAAAACTTTTACTGCATTGTAATTTTCATTGCCTTTTAGTATATTAGCAAATAATTGCAGTATTTACTTTTACTTTGTTTAACTGATCTTCTCTTGACTTTTAGTTAGAAATCCTGTGTTCTGTCAACATTCTCCAGTTTATATTCATTGCCTTAAGACTGGACAAGATCATCCACTGGCCCTGGCTTGTATGTAACATTTTAAATCTTTAAATAAACTTTTTCATTATGAAAATAATTTGTGTTCATTGTAGAAAACTTAGAAATGACAGATAAGCATAATTAATAGAATAATAATAACTCAATCTACTGGGAGATAAGATGCTTAGAATATTTTTTCTTCTGTCGTTTATTGTTTCATAATGATAGTTGAGAACATACCATGTGTATAATTTTGTATCTTACTATTTTGTCCTAATGTATCATAAACATTTTCCCATGTCAATAAAAGGTCTTTAAAAACATAACTGTTGCCGAAACCGGTTTGGCTTAGTGGATAGAGTGTCAGCCTATCAAGGGCATGTACCTTGGTTGCGGGCACATCCCTGGTGGAGGGTGTGCAGGAGGCAGCTGATCAATGATTCTTTCTCATTGATGTTTCTAACTCTCTATCCCTCTCTCTTCCTCTCTGTAAAAAATCAATAAAATATATAACTGTTAAAGTTCAACTGGTGGAAAATGTTCTTCAAATGCATTTATCAAACCATCCCCTTATTTCTGACTATTGAGGTTGTTACCAGTGTTTCAGCATTGTAAATCATGCTGTAGCATATATTTTTGTGCATAAATTTTTTGCCTAGTTTTTTCATTGTTTTTGTAGGAAAAACTCCAGAAACAGTATTAGTAGACCAGAGGGTAGGAACTTTTTGAGATTTTGAAATAAAAACTGAACTGCCAATTTGCCTTTCAAAAAAGTGATGCCAATTTATACTCCTGTTAAGGGTGAGGTCTAAGTCATGTTTGTAACCTATGGCTTCAACTAATATATATTTGGTTAATATTAATTGTGCATAGATAGATAGGAGGACTGATGAATGGACACATTGACATACACATACACTCACACACACACACATACATATATATGTGTGTATGTGTGTATATATATTATCTACCTAATAAAGAGGGGATATACTAATTGACCTTACTGCCCTGCCCTCAAAGATGGTGGCACCAAAGCCAATAAGGAGGAAATATGCTAATTGACTTCTCCGCCTCATCTTCCACTGCTTGTTGTGCATCTTTAAAAGTTATATTTTTATTGATAAAAGAGAGGAAAGTGGAGGGAGAGAGAGATAGAAACATCAATGATGAGAGAGAATCATTGGTCAGCTGCCTCCTGCACACCCCCTACTGTAGATCAAGCCCACAACCCAGGCATGTGCCCTTGACCAGAATCGAACTTGGGACCCTTCAGTTCACAGGCTGGTGCTCTATCCACTGAGCCAAACCAGCTAGGGCTTGTTGTGTAATTTTTCACACAAGACATTTTCTTAATTCACATGGTTTATCTTTAAAAGAAAAATCAAAAGAAAGATAGAAAAAAAAGAGAGAAACTATTTATTTGGCAACAGGGAAGAAAATAAGGGAACATATGTTACCTTCACAATGACTAAAGACAAGGCTCATCACTTCTGCCCAAAGTCTTTGATAAAATATTCAAAATAGAAAATATTGTCCAGGCACCCATCCTACATATTCAGGGTACTGTATCTAGACAACAATAATTGTGTTTCAGACTTTTTGTTGTGATATGGAGGAAACAAATTTTGGTAAGACCAAAATCTAAGTGTTAGGTAAATCTGAAGGAAAAAAAAAAAGAATAGGAGTTGTGAATGTTTTCTGTAGATGAACAGAAGAATTTTTCTAGGCCCGATCCTGTTCAGGTCCCAGCAGATGAAGTAGTCTGCTTGCATTTTTACCACTATGATCAAGGGAGAAAAATTAGGCTGTTAGGACCACTAATATTTCACCCACAAGAACATGCCACTAAGTGAGAGTCTGTCACAGGGAAGAGACTGTGCATAGACTCTATAGTAAAATCTATGATCAAGAACTCCACTCAGGAGGACTAAAAAATCATACAACAACTCAAGTCATTAGTCTAAAAAAATAAAATGTAAACCCAAAGAATTGTTAGAAGAAAACATAGGAAAAAATCTTTGGGACTTGGAATTAGGTGAAGAGTTTCTGGAAATAACACCAATAACATGGCCCATTAAGAAGCTTGAAAACGAAATGAAATTAATGAAAACACAGGTTACAGGCTAAAATAAAATATTTGTAAAGCACAGGTCTGACCAGGAATTTGTATCCAAAATTTCTAAAATAAACTCTTAAAAATAAAAAATTAAAAAACCAAACAACCTAATTTCAAAATTGACAAAATACTTGAACAGAACATTCACAAAAAAAGATATACATGTACTGAATGAGCACATGGAAAGGACACTGTTACCCATTAGGGAAAGGTAATAAAAACCAGGATAAGGTACCACAACACAAACACATATCAGAATGGCAAAGATAACACAATTATCAAGTGCAAAGGAACATGGACACTCACACATTACTGGGGGAATGCCTAATTGTATACGTACTCTGGAAAATGGTTTGACAGTTTTTTATAAATTTACCATGTGACTCAGAAGTGCCAACCCTGGATATTTCCCATAGAGAGGTGAAAATGTACAGCCACACAGAAACCCATGCAAATGAGTTTATAGCAGCTATATTTGGGATAGGCAAAAATAGGAAAATACCCAAATCTTCCATGAATGACTAGATGAACAGACTGTGATATATCCATCCAGTGGAACATAACTCAGCAATGAAAAGGAATGACCTGTTGATACACTCAGCAACTTGGTTGAATTTCAAACACATTTCACTGATTGAAAGAAGGGAGTCTCAGAGTGTGTCATGCTATATGCTAATCTATAGCATGTTTTTGAGAAGACAATATTAATAAAGAACAGATCAGTGGTTGCCAGGGTTTATAGGTAGAGTAAGGAGGTGACAGTGAAGGGACAGCATGAGGGAGTTTTGGGAGGTCAAGGAGCTATCCTGTATACTTCATTTATATGCATGAAAAATCATAGAATGTACACCAAAGAAAACAAGTTTACTGTTTGATAACACAAGATAGAGGGCTAACGGACATGTCCAAGGGGGCAGTACAGGCAGAGGAGAGATCATGGGGTCCCCCCAGAACTTAGCCTGTGGGCTTGTATGGACATTAAACAAGGTCTTTGTGGTATGACAGCAACAGACACAGAACCCACGTGAGAGAGGAGGCAGGGACCTGGTAGCAGAGTCCTCCCAGCATCAATGTGCAAGTTGGCAAAAGACCTGTGCACCCTGGGCAGCTGAAGCTTCTAGGGCACACATTCCCCAGTCTTTGGCTATAGTACCTCTGGAAGGATGGAGAAATGGCCTGTGAAGAGGGCACATTAGGGGGAGATGCAATGAGTGTGCATGAGGATGATGTTGGCACAGCAGGTGCAGACTGAGTTAGATCATACCTTAGATCAAGCAGCTGCAATGCTCTTCACTCCAAGAGAAACCCATGGTGGAGCACTTCAGGGCAGGTAGCAGGTCCCACATTGAGTATATTGCGTGTCCTCTCAGCATTCCAAACATGTAACGCTGTCCTTGTTCATGCTTGTACTGTCTTCTCTGCAGTGATCCAGCAAGGGATGCCTTCCCTCGGATTCTAGGGCAGAAACTAGAATACTATAAAGACATTTTTTTCTCTCCTTCTCTTAGGTTGTGTGTGTCCCCCTGTGGATTCTCATGTCCTTTCTGTGCCTGGTGGTTCTCTATTATATTGTGTGGTCTGTCCTGTTCCTGCGATCCATGGATGTGATTGCAGAACAGCGCAGGACACACATAACAATGGCACTCAGCTGGATGACCATTGTTGTGCCTCTTCTTACATTTGAGGTAAGCTTTCGGCAGCAGAATTTCTGAGATCCTTAAGACCATCCTTTCCTATGACAGCATCCTGCATACCTATAAGAGCAATCCACTCTTTCTAAATATCACTATGAGCTAACTCTAGCTAACTCTTGGAGAGTACACCAAGAGAGAATGACAGTAAAATCAGAATGTAGTTTCTTTGAGAAGGGCTAGGGACTGACAGTAAGATATGTATTTTTCTAGGTATGATGCATCTGTATGCATCAATTTGTCTACTTCTAGGAAGATAGTTGGATGTTGTATTTCATGTATGATTCTGTAGAGAGTTATAGGATGGGCACTGTTGACTCCTCAAAACCAGCACCAGGAGGAAGCCCCCTTAACAATGCTGTTGTTGGATATTTTGCAGGTGAATGGATATTATTTTCCCCAAAGTAGAGAGCTTCTATAGTTTCCTGTGGAGATGACTTTGCCCTTATGAGACCTTGTGAGGGAGGAGCATTATGGCTTCAGACATTGTCCATTTTCAGATGCTGTGTCCAAGAAACTTAGCTCTTTCTCTTTCTTTAGATCCTGCTGGTTCACAAATTGGATGGCCACAATGCATTCTCCTGTATCCCAATATTTGTCCCCCTTTGGCTTTCCTTGATCACTTTGATGGCAACTACATTTGGACAGAAAGGAGGAAATCACTGTATGTACTCAGTATTTCAGAAATCCTTTGTGTGTGTGTGTGTGTGTGTGTGTGTGTGTGTGTGTGTGTGTAAGCATGAGCCTGAGGGCACCAATTAAGAAGCTTGCATGGGAAAACTAACACTGAGGAAAATCTAGAATCTTCCAATGGAAGGGCATGCTGTCAACCTTGCTTTCCTTGCCCTGTACTACAGCCTCCATAGCAGTACACTATAGTTTGAGGTAGGGCTGACCCTGGCAGGTGGCTGTCTGATCCCATCCCATCCATTGCAACATTAGAATCAAAGTAACTCCTTTTCAGGGGACCCTAGGATTAGAGAAAAATCCACATTGCCCATTGACTCCCAGGAATGCTCCTAGGTTTGATTTCCTTCTAGCTTTCCCCAATGTAATTCCTGACATTCCTAGGTCTTGTCAATGGTGCCCTGCTAGCTCTCTTTCCTCTTCGCTATGTGCTGTGATCTATGGAAAGGGTCCCTTCCTCACTAGACTGAAAGCTCCTTTGCATGTAATCCCTGAACACGCCCTTCTGGAAGCCAATGAGGGAGGATGTTGTGCCCTAGGAGAGCCAGCACTACTCTGATGGTCTTGTGATAAATAGACAGGAAGAGTGAACCTCAGAGAAGCAGTTTTGAGGTGACCCTGTGAGCTCAAGCTGCTTCCTGGCCTGCTCTGGACAATGACAGAAATGCTTTCCTTGGATGTCACTCTTTGTCATACATTAGTTTATCCTGGGTAGGGGAGATTAGAGGATGTCTATAGAGTCTAGACTCGACAGGTATTCGGGATTTACTAGAATAAGTACTCAGACTGGAGGACCCCTCAGAATCATTGAGAGGGCCTGTGCAGGCAGACAGTCCCAACTTATGATTCTGACTCAGTCTGGGCTGGGCCAAGATTGTATCCTTACCAAGACCCCAGGGACACTATCACAGCTAATCTGGGAGCCCCACTCGGAAAACCATGACTTTCAGATCTGACTTCTTATCCTTAGTGGATATTTAGGCCTTGCTCAATCTTCATTTCTAAGACATCAGGACAAACTCATTCAGGATGGAAAAGTAATTTGAAATTCAGTGCGTTCTAGTATTTGAAAGATTGTATTCTTTTTTTTTTCAGGGTGGTTTGGTATTCGCAAGGATTTCTGTCAGTTTCTCCTTGAAATCTTCCCATTTTTGAGAGAATATGGAAACATTTCCTATGATCTTCATCATGAAGATAATGAGGAAACCGAGGAAACCCCAGTTCCTGAACCTCCTAAAATTGCTCCTCTGTTTCGAAAGAAGACCAGGGTAGTTATCACCCAAAGCCCTGGGAAATACATCCTCCCACCTCCCAAATTAAACATTGAAATGCCAGATTAGACACCACTTCCCGGGGCAGAACGCAAGTGCACTGGGACGCATGCACTCCTCTACCTTCCTCTGCCTCTTTGTTCACCCCCCAGAACTGGTACTGGAGCTGAGGCTCCAGGTACTTGCATCTCATGCCTTGTTTGCACTCAATGCCTGCCAGTGACTCATCACAATGGGACACACAGGTGGCAGGTGACTGGAACATGTGGTGTGGTTTGGGGTGTGTCAATGGATGTGGATGCAATGGAGGGAGCATGTGTGAGAGGGAGAAATGAAACTGATTTCTGACCAGTTGGCGATGGCTGATTAGGCCAGAGAAGTAACATCTACAGAGCTGGTTTTCAAAGTGCTAAAATGCCTATCAAAAGTGTTATTTGAAAATGTATTTTTAAGCCCAGCCAGCCTCGCTGCTTAGCTCAGATTCTCCTGTTGTGGCGTAGTCAGTAGGAACTGTAAATAATCCTCTCTGGCACCATGTGTGTATCCACACAATCATTATTGTTTGTGTTCCTGCTGTGGAAGTAGTTTCTCTTTGGGCATGCTGACAGCAATTTTTAATGGCCCTATCAGTGAGCCCTTTCTAATGGAGTGACTTTGTGCTTGTATAGTATTTATACAAATATTTTAGCATTGTAATATATCGTGTTAAATCCTATTCTGTACAGTATATTCTGTTAAAGTATTTTTTTACAAGCTTGTACTGGAGGAAGACATCTTCTGTTGCAGAAATAGAAGTCGGTGGCACACCTGTCCCACCCACTGTGGTGCCACCCCTTAATAGGACATCACCATTTCCCGTTGAATTTCTGCACATACATAGTAGCTGCTACTGCCAGAACAGCCAAAATAAAGCAAGAAATGATCTGTGCTTTTCTAACAGTCTGGGAATATTGGCTTGCCAGAAAATTATCAATCATGACAAAACTAGAATACTGGACGAAGTTGCTGAGACTAGGGACAACCAGTAGAATTATGTATATGAGAAGATCTGAGGCTTTCTGTCTGCCTTCACCAAGAACGCTTTTGGCTGGGCTTGTGCTTTTAACTAGGAAAGTAGTTGCTCCAAGAGCTGATGGTAAAACCATGAGTCAAAGCAGATCCTATAGGTAACAGCCTTCTGCCTGGGAACAAGTAAGGAATTTTTTGAAAGGAGGGTAAAGCGACACTGGCATTCTCACCCAGGAAAAGTGTGGACGGTTTAAGATGGACATCTGCTAACTTGTCTAAACTGGGCTTTACTGATGTCTACAATATACGTGACTCTAGCTGCACCCTGGCCTCCAGCCAGGCTATTCTGTCTTGGGAGAAGGGAGTCATTTGGAATCGTGTAGATTTTCCTGCTTGGTGTGTAACAAGTGTTGATCAGCCCACTATTTTTGCTCCCTTTAGCTGTTCAATAAATTGGTTCCTCATTTTCTATGCACTCTCTATGGCTCTTGCTTTAGATATGGTCCAGGGCACTGAAATTTTCTGATCCAGAGGGAAGGAAACTGCTAGCTGCCACAAGTAGCTGAGAAACATGGTGGTGGGTGAACATCCCTAATGAGTCCTCTGGCACAGTGTGAACAGAGTTCTGTAATTGTTACACTCAAGAGCCTTACAAAAGTGTTCTGTGGTTCTAAGACAATCTTGAAGCTGAAATTGGCTATTTGGTGGTCCCAAGGCAATTCCTGGTCACATCAAGTGGTTGAATATTACTTATGAAATAAAATAGTCTATGATTTCTGTCTAGCTCACTCCAGCTGCCTGTGTGGTTTAATGAGCATTTAAATTGTGTGGCTTTTCAGCCCATGTTTCACATCAACCATCAAGGAAGTCCACCATTTGCTGGTGACAGATTATTTCCTGTGGGAGCCAAAGGCCACGGATTTAGCATTTTGAAAGCTCAGTAGGTTTCAGATTAGTTGTTAGACAAAACACAGTAGCTATGATCTAGGTATCAGGTACTTTGCTACCTAATGTATATCCTTTGAATCCTTGGGACCCCATGAAGCAGGTGCAACTACTATTATCCCCATGAGTAATTAGAACTTCAAAGAGGTCAAATAACAGGCCCAGAGTCTGCAACTAGGAAATATTAAGTCCAGCTGCCAGTGTTCCCCAGACAACTGTAGTATCTCCATGACACCCTTCTTTCTCTCTGCATATTGCATGTTCAGACTATATCCAAAGACTCATTAGGCATGGTGACTCTCCCTTGCATGCCTTGGCCATCTAAGTCTTTAGCATAATCTGAACAGAGCTTGTTGGGGCAAGGGTGAAATCCTCATGTTCCCCACCTGGACTCAGCAAGACGTAGGCCTGTACCCTCTGCTATCTGAGTGTGTGTCCTTCAGACCAAGGTTCTGACTCCCACAGATTTCCCCAGGCATGTGGAGGCAGGGGGCATTGCTCAACCTTGGAGTCCAACCCAGGGTCCTGTACATCTGACAGGAACACCGGGAGTTGGGTTCTATGTACCCTCTGTTCTGAGACTAGTGGACTTCAAAGTCCTCACTCAGGATGGTCTCACAACCCTTGCAGAGATAACTGCAGTACCAGGATAGATGCTGGAGGGTGTGCTGCTGGGCCCAGTATGTGTCAGGAGCAGAGAAAGATTACTATGAGTAAGGATTAAACAGTGAAATCAGCCCTAGCTGGTTTGGCTCAGTGGGTAGAGTGTCAGCCCGCAGACTGAAGGGTCCCAGATTCAATTTTGGTCAAGGGCACATGCCTGGGTTGTGGGCTCGATCCCCAGTGGGGAAGGGAAGGGTGTGCTGGAGGCAGCTGACCAATGATTCTCTCATCATTGATGTTTCTATCTCTCTCCCTCTCTCTTGCTCTCTCAAATAAATTAAAATATATTTAGAAAAAAAAGATAACACAAAGCTTAACTTTTCAAACTAATGCTATATAAAAAGAGCTAATATGCCAATTAGACCGAACTGCAGAACAACCAGACTACCTTCTGGATGATGCCGGGTTGCAAGATCAGGCAGAGCTGCAAGGGGCTGTGAGGGCCAGCCAAGGTAGCAGGGGCTGTGAGGGCTGAGTTCCTTGCCCAAATTTCATGCATTGAGTCTCTAGTAAATTTTAATAAAAGATGCAGGCAGGACTACAAATAAAGTGTCAAAAATCAGAGTAAATCAGGCAGAGTAAGAGTGAGTATGAATGCAATTCTGAAACTGGGCAAGACGTAAAATTTATTTCTGACTCCGACTGAGAGTTTGAAAAAACAAAAATTAATCATCTGGACTATAAAATATTAGATAACTTCAAAAGAGCAGAATCCCCTTTCCACCTTCATTTCTTGCTGCTCATCGTTTTCCATGTCGAAAACAATTCTTTTAGAACAAAAAGTTTCAAAAGTAGGTTGCCTGGTAAAGAGACACTGAGAAAGGGAGTTTCTTCTCTGATGCCCCCCAGGGCTCTTGGCTCTGCAGCGCCCCCTGTGGGAACTGCGATGTGACCACAGTGGTCTGTCTATGCCAGGGTTGTGAGGACCCTCCCAGTGAGGACTGAGGGCTGTACCCGCCCCACAACAGAGAGCCCGCCCCTGCACCCAGCTCTGGGGCTTCCTTCATATCTGGGTGCCTCAGGCTGAGGGTCAGGCTGTGAACTCCCGCCCCACCTCCTGGGGGCCTGAGGGAGGCCCACACTTGGCCTGAGGGCACAGACACAGGTCAGCACAGGGTGGGGTCCCAGCCGTCCAGCCCAGGTGGGAACCGGTCGGTGCCGCAGAGCACCCTGGGTGCGGAACCCCGCCCCTGTCAGCATCCTGGGCGACCCCAGCAGTAGTTTCCGGAAGTGACATCATAACGTCCACCTGAGAATCCAGGGAGCCGAGCGCCATCTTGAGAAGCCGGCTTCGAGCCAGCGGAGAGGACAAGCTGTGGGGAGCGGTCTCAGGTAGGCGGGGCCCAGGCTCTGCCTGGAGCCCGGTGAGGACCCCACGGAGATCCCCGGGGTCTAGTTCAGCCCCTGCCGGGAGCCCTGGGCACTGAGGCCCACGGACCGCCCTTCGGGTGTCGGGGTTGAGGGCTCCGTGTGGGGGTCCGGGCTCCGGTTCACAGAGGGAGGGCCAGGGCCTGCAGGCCTCATGGGGACGGCCGTCCGTCCCCGGTCCCTGGGGGGAGACAAGGTGACTCCGGGCCCCAGAGCAGTCAGTCCCGGGAGCCCCAAGGTGCGGGGTGACCACCAGCTTTGAGGACTGACTTCAGCCTCTTCCGGGTGGAGACACTCGGGGGCTCCGTGTCATGGCGGAGTGTCAGGTCGGCAGAGGGTGTCCGGGACCAGCCCGGAGTCAGTGTGGGGGACCCGGAGGGAGATTGGGGGCCCTGGACCCCAGAACAGTGTCCATGGGCAGGCCTCCCGGAGTAGGGGGGGTGACCTCACACTGCTTTGTGAGTTCTCCATTTGGTCTGAGAAACACTGGGGGATTAGTAGGAGGAGCAGGGCTACAGGCAGAAGAGGGGGCACCCCAGGTCCTGCTGATGAAGAGTTGAGGACTCTGAGGGAGATTAGGGGCCCTGGACCCCAGAACAGTGTCCATGGGCAGGCCTCCCGGGTGGGGGAGGGGTGACCTCACACATTGACCTTTGTGAGTTCTGCATTCAGTCTGACGTACACTCGGGGTTTTGTAGAAGGAGCAGGGCTTCAGGCAGCAGCCGGGGGACCCCAGGTCCTGCTAATGAAGAGTTGAAACCCCTGAAGAAGATTGGGGGACACTGGAAACCAGAATCATCAGTGCAGGGAGGACCAGTGGGATGACCTCTGCATCAGGTATGAGAGACTCTGAGGTTCGGTGAAAGGAGCAGAGCCACAGGTCCGCAGAAGGAGAACAGAGGGAAGCCTGGACTACATAATGTAGGGGACCCCATAAAAGCCCTCCCTGACTACAAGCCGTGGGAGACCCCATGTCAGATGACCCCTTCATTTGTCTCCTGACTTTGGCATGCGGGTCTGATACACTGGGATTCACTGTAAGGAGCACAGGACTACTGGGGGCACCCTGGGCCCCAAAACTAGGG